GGGCATCATTTCAGTACGTAGCTAAACTGTTGGAGCATAATAGTTTTCCATTATTACTATTCATCATGAGACTTGCGTTTTGGCTAAAACACAGTTCGAGCGCTCAAACAGCGAAGGTCCTTTCTTAGAGTGGCGTTTGAACTACAAGTCTAATCTATAAGAGATTGTAGCGATGTCAACAGATGAAACTTCATAGTAGCCAGTTACCATAATAGGTTCAAACTCCGTTCTCTCAGGACTCTAGACTCCTATATACACTAGTGCCTTGCAGTCACGGTTATCAATCTAACCTAGGTGGACCTTTGGTATCCGTCAATCCCGTCTGAACATAAAAATTTCGCCTTTTGTTCTCTCACTTTTGTAAAAAATAACAACTCTGGGCATGAAGATGGTGAGTATGACTTCTCTGAGCCGGGCTAAAACTCTCGGTCTCAAGATGACGTTACGACAAGGACAGTGGACAATTTTAACGCTCATCCGTACGAAGAAAATCAGAGGCACATTATATTGTGCTGAATGTAAAGTTAACAAATTTCCATTATTTGGTTACTTATTAAATGATATTTTGTACAAAAGAATTCTGAGTCAAGTGAAGTTCTAATGACCATGGAATTTCTTCGAAAATAAAGCAAATAAATACCGTATTAATGTTAATTGCCAAAAAGAAGAATTCGTATTATAAATAAAGTCGTACCAAAGTTTCCTCATACTTCTGAGAAAAAACAGTAATACGTAACTAATGAGTAGTGAACAGTACTTTTAAACAATATTTATTAAGTAAGCTAATCATTTAACCCTAGTTCAAAAATAAGATCATAATAAATGATATTCAAATGATTAGTTGAAATTAGACACTAAAACCGTTAAATGCCGGTTCAATGGTCTAGAGGTTAAGCGTTTGAGCGCGGGATCGAAGGTCTAAATTTTGAGTCCCGCACGAGGAAATACGGATGCGCGCTGCTGAAGAATCTCATGAAAGGACGAAACAGTCATCCAATACTTACAGGTTTTCAATGATGGCCTAGCTTAAATTAACTTGTAAACTCAATTGTTAATTGACAAAATTATCAATAAAAGTACTATTAACAATTGAATTCTATCAAACCCTTTACAGAATTGAAGAAATTACCTGAAATACAAAGTAAATCATAATCATATACAATAAAATTCAACATTTTTCTTTTAGTTTATTCCAATCTATTTTTCTTGATTAATTATCTAAACTCCAAGAATTTCTGACCTTTAATTAAATTATGAAAAGAAAACGGAACAAAGCAAATTTGATTGAATTACGTGCTGTTATCATATGGAAGGTATTATATGAAGAAACAATAAATAGTTTCATCATTGTTTGTTGTTTTCTTTATTATAATGATTGTGATAAATGAAGTTTCAAAGGTCAGTCAGTCTATTGTTCATTCGCCCACGTAAAGTAGCAATATTTGATTGTTTATTATGAAGATAATTTTCTACAGAAATTTTCATCTTAATTCTCTTTAAATGATGTTCTAATGTTCATCAGTGTTGATTTCATCAGTCAGTCAGTCAGTCAGCTTCAACGTAGGACCAGGCACATATATGCATCGGTCCAAGTTGTCATACCTCGTTAGCACAACAAGATGAACACCGGATTCATATAAATAGTTAATTGAGTGATGGTATTATATAAAAAAAGATTGTATATAAGGATATAGTATAGGAAGTGAGAAAGTTATGAAGCAATTTTAATCTTAAGGTTTAAGGGAAGATAAAGAGTGTATACACCTACGCCATGGTGATCGATTCTGAGCCATGTCACCTAGAGTCTCCAACCATTGATTACGATAGGCGCGCGGATCCCAGCCAAGTAGTCTGCATCTACCAACATGGCTCAGACTAGAAGTTAGTGACTAATACCATGTTTTGGTTTGGCCGCCCCTAACTTTCTTCCAACCGTCCCCTACACTAGTCGGCATAGCGCGTTGTGGTAATCGGTGTTCAGACATACGTAACATGTGACCTCACCATCTCAGTTGATGAAGATCCACAACCTCATCAACTGATTTACCATCACTCCCTAATACCTTATGTTTAACCTCACTATAACTTACCCGGTGATCCGAGCTGATATAACCTTTTATTTCTAAGGCATCTATGGTCAAATAAAGGTAACTTACGATTATCTTCTACACTTAATGGTCATGTTTCACAGCCGTAAAGTAAAACAGAGCGAACTGCTGCGCAGTATACTCGTCCCTTAATTGACAGACGGATATCTCGTCTTCGCCATAGGTGAGGTAAGTTGGCAAAAGCCAAACGAGCTTTTTGAATCCGTGCTGAGATTTCGTCAGACACCAACTCATTAGGGCTGATCAGACTTCCAAGAAAAGCTGATTTCTTACATGCACTCGTCACTTCATCTAAATTGTTTTCTTCTTAGTTCATTTGGCAGTTTCATGCAAGAAATTGTCTGATTGTTTAGTGATTCTTGGTGAGTGTCATGTTGAGTGGTTAGCCGATTCTAAAACACGCTTCCTATATGCTTGACAAACGTGCTGCATGAGTGAGATTACAAGTAATGAATAGGAGGCTTTTAATGATGCCGTCATCTGACTCCAGTTAGATCGTATGCTGATTGTTATCGAAATAGACATGTCTTTAACCCTCGTATATGATTATCGACTAAATTTGCGTTAGAGAATAACGAAATGAAACTAGCCAAATATGAGAATACATTTTGAGTTCATATATTCTGAACACTCATTGATCTAGGTGGTTGACTTCTACGAGTAGAATTGTGTACGAAATTCGCCCGACTAAATCCAGTTTCCTCAAGCACTTCAAGCCGAATGAAGCACAACCTGATTTAGGTTTCAATCATGTATCCATTCGAAATCCTATCAAACTAGATTTGTTCGATTGATGAAAGTAATAAAAACAACTTCTTTTTCATTCAATAACTGGTTGAATATTTTAACGGTCTACTCGAACATGCATGTGAATGATTGGGCAGCTATGGTCAATAGTGAATATCATATGGTTCACTAACGAATACAAACAATCAATATTCCACTCATTCTCTCACTCATTCATTCATTCATTGAAGCTAACCAGAAGTCGCAACGGTCGAATAGTTCCACTTCATGTGAGTTGTAATTCAATTTCCCAGTGTTTATGTGTGAATGTTGGAGTGTTTACTATGTGATATTGACTTGTTCCGAAAACTACTGTTTTTCATAGAGCAATGTGATTATCATGTTATATTAAACGCAGCATTCAAAATGTCTTACCGAGGATCTTAAGTCAGTCAAAATAGACTATGAAGAACAACATACGCATACATCGTCATCATCATTACCATATCTGTGAACAAAGAAATTGAATATATAACTAATATGACCGCATATGATTTGGCAGCATCACAGCCATCACACAAATAAAACGACATTTTTGCGGCGCATATGTATCTGGTGCTTCCTTGTACCAATACTTATGTGTTTATATAAATAAATAAATATCATCAGGACTATAAACTAATATGTCGGTTCTACAAATGAGTTGATAACCGATACCAATTAGATGGTTTCGAGTCAATTCAACAATTTAACATTCAGGTAATAAACATACAATGTGTTCATATTCATGCAAGTATCTATTTTATGAAATGTGAACAATATTGAGCAATAAGAGCGAATAACATTAGAAATCACTTCCAAGTTCTACATCCTCATTGTCGACGAGTAGTACCAAACTGATGAGGTCTAACTATGTGAAACTGAGATGTCTCATCACAAGCAATGAACAAAGAACTGTGGCACTATATCATGTCAATATCTCAACTACAATATCCTCCGGTTTAGTCAGTCAAATAAAAAATTAATTTAGGATATTCAAAATGACTGGATAAGTGATGAATATTTGAAGTTCTCAGTCAACTCTCTAGGTTGAATTCGGCTTATTACTTGAACAGACATATGAGAAAACCATATAGTTTAATGATGCTGTTGTTGACTGCAATTCAGTTGTGATTATACGTGAAAGTATATGGAATAGTGGGATTGTAGATTTACAAAAGTAGACGATTAATGTGTTACACTTGTCCCAACAACATGATTTGAGAAAGGCTACTGCTAACAGATGATGCATTAATGATAGTCTGTGATGTGTAGGAGTCAGTTGGGATTCGTGCAAGTGAACGTGTAGTGGATCTGTTTACCAGTCCATTCAATAAATGTGTAGTATCAAGTATTTTCGGGAAAATTTCCCGTTCATTTTGTGGATGAGTACTGGTTGTAAGAGAGTAATTTTAACTGTGAATTTAATTTCAGACTCTGATTTTCACTTCATTCACTTTCTGCATTCGGAAGTCTGAGATGAGCCACAGTGATGTATTTATAGAAGACATACGTAGATAGCTTCGGATGATTGAAACCCGATTCCCAGTGGAATTTGTGTTCTTATATATTTGAAAATCACTCAATAAATGAACAAGAAGTGCTCGAAAATACTTGATTTTGTAATTTTATTAAATGCTGAAAAGGTGTAGTTATGCTCACGTGTTGGAATTTACTAAAATCTTGAACGGTAGTAAAGGTGTTGCAAATATTAAGAGTTTGATAACGTTGTTTTTCGCAACACTTCTATATTCAAGCATCCCAAAGCCAGTCTAAACTGAATTTAAGGAAAGAGGAGTTCGAAGATATATTTACAAGAAAATCGATATGTTGAGAAATATATGACCAAAGCTAACTAGTCATTGATAGGTATGCATAGCGCCGGACATTCGCTTTTCGTCCTGTCAATTTCGTAAACAACAGTCGAGCCACGAGAAGGTAGTGAGTAGAACTTCCTTGGGAGAGGCTATATACGCGTGGCTATGTGAGTTCTGATGAAGAACTAATTGAGAAGAAATATTTCTTCGAAAATCACTTATTTTTTATGTCTCAGTGGGAATATTTAATGAAGATTGTAAGATGTTTTATTTGTATAATTACGTGCAGTATGATCTGTTTTACACATATTTAGCTAAATGGGCAGTTGAACGCAAAATGGGAACTAGTAGGCTTCTCTTTCTCTCCTTCACGAACGTTTTGTAAATCAGTGAAACCAAACGAATAAGAAAATGAATTCAAAACACGTAGACATGTCTAGCAAAACAAATATTTTTTGAAAAAAATAGTACAAAGAAAATTCTTCTGTATAAATGATGGATTCAAATGATGAAACTACTCGGTTAATACATGATGAAACGAAGTTCGAGATGTTAACCTTTGCCAAGGAATTCACGTTTGCCTTCATCGTTCACTACACACACATGCTTGAAAAGGAGAGGAAATAATCAAAGGAGAAAAAGTAAACAATATTAACATTTTCACTGGACAATGTCAAAGCAAATTTCAATCATTTCATTCATTCATTCATTCACATGATACATGCTCCACTTTTTGTTGGTCAACGTAATAACTTGCTTACATTCATACCTACTCACCACTCTGCAATACAATTTAATTATTCGACACATCAAACTTCATCATCCCACATATAATAACAAACACACAGAGTGGATGATAACAACAAATTATCCATTCGTCCAATTCACTTACTGGCAATTCACGGAACTGATCGTTGTAGTCGATGCCATAACCAACTATGAATACATTCGGTACTTCGAATCCAACATCTACAAAATGTCATTTGAATCGATTAGGTTTGATGGAATACGTTAAAATGAGTATTGGTGAGTATCTAATGAAAAGTAGGTTACACTCGTGTTACACATGTTTACTATGTACGTTGTTACAGTTGATCACTGACTGTGTCATTAATTAAATAATTTTGAGTGACTCAAATATACACTTGATTTCATTTTAATGAAGATCGAAATAATAACTTGTGAGGAAAGAATTCACTGTTAAGTTCTCTTACACGGTTGTTATATTTCTGGTTGGATGCGTTTTCTGTGATCATAGACACTATGAATAGATGTTCTTTAGAAATGAAACTCGTACACGATGAATTTGTATTATTACAGAAAGGCAAACACAGTAATAATTCTTTATTCAATGTTGATCGAGTTCCATCTATCAGTAAATTAGTGAGTGATGTCTCACTGTTACTCTATGAATATCTATCTGTTCAATGAATTAGTTCGCAACGTCTATCCTCAACAAATTTTGTTGTACTATTGAAATGATTCTGACAAGAATACACCTTCATTCGAAGGCTCACACCCTCCAACCTAGAATGATTCAATTTACATATACTTATTCAATCATCATACGCGTAATTAGAGGTACAAACAAATTAACTTTTGTACAAATACAGTGATAGTTCTGTTACGAACAATTTTAGTATTGAAGACTTACAGGTTGGTTTATATCCAGGAACCTCGGCTATTCTTTTGACTAGTAAACTATGATTCAATTGAAAAATGACATTAACACATGTTATTGCACAACTATCAATAGTAAAGTAATTGGTTTGGTGATTGTCAATGTGAAAATGCATAAAAACCAGGTCTAGCTGTTGAGTGTGAGCAGTCGATAGATCCGGTGCTCAAAGCATCTTACTGTCTATATAGGAACTTTCGTCTAAATGAGAACGAATATTTGCGCAGTATTTGGGTGCCGAATTGATGTGAGACATAAAATATGAAGAATATATTTGTAAACTCTCAGCGAATGAATTTTAAGTAAATCCAACGTTTCTCCTGGTAATCTGGTCCAAGCATTTTCAAGGAAATATTTCCATGAACATCTTACTAATTGTTTATGATAGGCTATACTAAGCAATCAATCCACTTGTTCAACACACTTAACATCCAACTCAATTTAATCATTACGTTCAATTCGAATGCATTCTATGACAATACTAAAGAGAGAACAACATAAAAAGAACATACCATGCAGAATAAACAGATTTCGGTTCGTATTTCCTCACAAATCTCTCCAGTTCGTTTAAACTTGTGCCAGTGTCAACCATATCTTCCACAATCAGTACATCCTTTCAAAAACAACCAAATGACCATTAGAAATTCCCTCCATCACCTTTCAACCTACCTTATCTCTGAACTTCTCCATATTTGTACACGGGGTGATGTTGGTATCATGACCTACTGAATCATCCTAAATATATTGATAGAAATTACTTCACAAAATATCATTACTACTTACGACGTATGTACTTGCAGCGAGGAAATCAATACTGACTTTGATGTAATTGTCACGTGTAAATGAATACTCTTGTAATGTTTTGAATAAGTCGGAAGCAAATTTGAAGCCTCCTTTCAATATACAAATTATGTAGACAGATTTTACACCACATTTCTCATAATCACTCAATATATCGATAGACATTCTTTCCAAACGATTCTCAATCATTCCTCCAGGAATCAAAATGGTCGAAATATGTTTTTCATAGGGTTCTGGTAAAGTGAAATTCTTCGCTGAATATCCTTCATAACTATCATCAAACTAAATGAAAAACAATTAAATACACTGTGTAGTCAAACTGAATACTTACGATTATGCAGTCATTTTTGTATTCACGTGAAGCCATTCCAACACTATCAAATAATCTATTCACAGTGAAGAGAACACTATTGAGATTATATAGAGTGAAGCACACAGTTGATCATCCAACCAAATATCTCGTCACAATAACCAATCAACTATCGACTTGATAGAAAGTCGAATTATGATGAGAATTGTGTAGGAGGAAATGGCGAACGAGATAGCTTGGAGAATATGATGGATTCATGGTATTTCACTGTCACATACAAGCTGCTACATTTATTCAGTTCGAAATAATAAGGTACTTTTGAATGAGCATGAAGAGATGAATAGTTCATGACAGAGTAATGAATTGTTTTGAAAATAACATTGTAATGGAGTTGGAATGAAGACACTGACAGAGTATTTGTAAATGAAGAGGATGATAACTCTGGAGTACTGGAGATGACTGGATTGTGTGATCTGACAAAGATCTATTCATCAATAATGAAGACTGTAGATTGAAATAAGAGACAGAAATCAACTCACTCAATTGTACTCATGGTTAAATGAATAATGAAACAAAAATCGAACCAATTCACAGTTCAGCACCAACCAGTAACAAATATCATCATCATTATCGTCTTCATGGAGTCATGTGTTCTGATGGATGAGCATTTTGATATTACTGGACACAAGGTTATCAGGAAACAGTGTTTCACTGATTACATTATGGAAATGAGGGTAGTCAAGTATTATTTGGTGAAATGTTTCACTCGATTAGGTTGTTTGATTATTCACAAGAATTTGTTGTATGAAATGAAATGCAGATTATCGTTTTGATAAGTGAAATATGCAACTACTTGTTGCAATGTGTTAGACAACAATTATTATTGTAGTGGGACAGATTGTGTACATTCATAGCTTAGTCAAGTGAAAGCATTCACCTTGTACTCAATTGTGTTGCAGATAGTTACTGTTGTTTACTGGAAATATTAAATAGTGATTAGTGCATAAGTATGATCTGATGACGATCTGATCATATTCACAACTACAAACTGATGGGCATTCGTTATCATTTTTGAGAGTGTTAGATGTGTGATTAGTTGGTTAAACGGTACACTAGTTCACTGTTTGTGTAGTTACTCATTTCACATTAAACTTATTCCTACTCTTGTTCCATTGAAACATTTAACATTTGTGTGAAGTGGATATTGTGCACAGCATATGAGTAGTCATTCTGATGATGACACATGAACCATTAGATTCATTATTAGCAATGGAGAGGCCATCATCACTCCATTCATGATTAACAATCTTATTGAAACGATGCATTTATATAATTCAGTTAGATGTTGTTTCCTACTTCATATCTTCAATTCAAGTTTTTTCTATTCTAAATCTTACCAGACAACTACGTTTCAGACTGAATAGAACTTTTGAATATTCAATAGTAGTTTATGACCACAGTGTAATTACATTAAGACATTTCAACATAGACAAAGAAGGTAAAAATAAATTAGAGATTGTTGACCTGAAGTAGACTAATTATTGAAGTTATTAACTGAACAAATACCACAAATTAGTTTGGAATTGACACAATCATATAATAAATTAATGTGGAATGTTGATGATAACATAAATGAATTGACTGTAGTTATTTTGTTTATTGCCAAATCATATGCGGTCATATTTGATGGTTTTCAATTTCTTTGTTCACAGATATGGCGATGCTGATGATGACGATGTTGCGTATTTTGTTCTTCATAGTCTATTTTGACTGACTTAAGATCCTCGGTAAGACATTTTGAATGCTGCGTTTAATATAACATGATAATCACATTGCTCTATGAAAAACAGTAGTTTTCGGAACAAGTCAATATCATATGGTCTACACTCCAACATTCACACAAGAACACTGGGAAATTGAATTACAACTTCCATGATGTGGAATTATTGGTCTGAAGTTATTCGTTTCTATTCAGACTTTTGGTAGATGGCACTTCAATTCATTGAAATACATCCTGTGAATTGTTCATTGTTCACTGTCCCCACGAATACAGACGAACAGCAAAGAAATTTGACACATGTAAGAATTTGGATGCTCCACATGAGCCGTCTTTTATTGAGAACTGAATATTGAACTTCCTCATTAACCATAAAGTTTGGAGGATGTCAATGTTTGTAATTCTCTCTTTCGTTAATCAATTCTGATAAAGCTGTGTAGACAGGTTGATGAGAGTCGAAATCTGATCATCATCACCATAGTGAGTCTCCAACTGTCTGATTGGTTAATTCTTTGTTCGATCTGATATTTTGTTATATGTAGCCGACTTCATTGTCATCACTATCTTAATAGGTTTGTATGATCCCGTTTCTCCACATTATCAGGGGGTGGGTGGATAACCTCTCATTCCAAAACCACCATCTCCATTTCGAGACGTTTTGATAACTGTAATTGCAGTGCTGTAATTTGGTAGTGGGAGCAGCTATCAGACACAAATGAAATGGGGAATTCGCTTCAGTTCCTGATCATTCACCCGTGGGTAAGTGGGATGGTATTTGTACATTCTACGATTTCAATAAATATTATATCGATGTTATGGTTGATGGAAATAACCCATGTTTTAAAGTGAGTGCTATTCTACTAACTGGAAAATAGAGTTTATACTATATTTCTGACTGATTTTCCTACTGGATATAAGCAAATCTTTGGTGAACGAGAATTTCCACCTCTGTTGCGATTTCTGGTTAACTTCAATGAATGAATGGAATATCGATCGTTTATATTGGTTAGTGAACCATATGATATTCACTATTGACCATAGCTGTCCAATCATTCACATGCATGTTCGAGTAGACCGTTAAAATATTCAACCAGTTATTGAATGAAAAAGAAGTCGTTTTTCTTACTTTCATCAATCAAACAAATCTAGTTTGATAGGGTTCCGAGTGGATACATGATTGAAACCTAAATCAGGTTATGCTTCAATTGACTTGAAGTGCTTGAGGAAACTGGATTTAGTCGGGCGAATTTCCTACACAATTCTACTCGTAGAGGTCAATCACCTAGACTTGCCAAAATGTGTGACCTATCACACCATCTGAGATTGTGTGGGGAAAGATGTTGGAAATACTGTGGTCTAGTATGGAGGTCGATTTCGTTCGTTGTTCAGAGATGGTTTCGACTTGTAGTGGCTAGTATTATGTCAAACCCACATGGGTTATTCTAGCTTCTGAACAGACCGACTTATTCACTCCTCTCATACCATATTTTAACCTTGTCAATTGTTTCCTTACTATTTCTGACTGTTCTTACATGATTGTATGCGTGTTAATTGTTTTCCCTATTTATCATGTGTTTGTCTGTAAATTATTTTTGTATGAATATAAATATTGAATCACGTTTAATCAAAACGAGTTGGCTCACTCGCCTTCTCCTCGAAGCATCACTTCGTTTCGTTTCGTTCATTTCCCTTTCTTCACTCCGTTTCTCTGATTGTTTGTCTGGATCAATGAGTGTTCGAAATAAATGAACTCAAAATGCATTCGCATATTTGGCTAGTTTCATTCCATTATTCTCTAACGCAAATTTAGTCGATAATCATATACGAGGGTTAAAGACATGTCTATTTCGATAACAATCAGCATACGATCTAACTGGAGTCAGATGACTACTACTACTTTACGTGGGCGAATAAACAATAGTCTGACTGAGCTTTGGAACTTCATAAATCACAATACTGTCTCATTATAATAAAGAAAACGACCAACAAAGATGAAACTATTTATTGTTTTTTTTCATACAATACCTTCCATATGATAACGGCACGTACTTCAATCAAATTTATTTTCTTTTCATTTTCTATTAGAGGTTAGAAATTCTTGTACTTCACTTATTGAAGTTTAGATAATTAATCAAGAAAAATAGACTGGAGTAAACTAAAAAATGTTGAGTTTTAGTAAACAAAGATGGATAGTGGCTAGCAGTGGAATCCAGGATGCGCGTTCCGTCCTATTTGGGACTCGTCAGCTGGATGTACCTGCATCTGAGTTGATGCTCACTCTGTGACTCGAACCCAGTACCTTTCGGTTCAAACGCCATCACGTTATTCGCTTGACCACTGAGTCCAAAAAATATGCATTTTTTAATGTATACGTAGTGACATTGAATGAGAGAATGTCCAACACAAATCTGATTATTTACTCGGTTAATAAATGGTTAAACAAAGCATGAGATGTTAACCTTTGCCAAGGAATTCACGTTTGCCTTCATCGTTCACTACACACACATGCTTGAAAAGGAGAGGAAATAATCAAAGGAGAAAAAGTAAACAATATTAACATTTTCACTGGACAATGTCAAAGCAAATTTCAATCATTTCATTCATTCATTCATTCACATGATACATGCTCCACTTTTTGTTGGTCAACGTAATAACTTGCTTACATTCATACCTACTCACCACTCTGCAATACAATTTAATTATTCGACACATCAAACTTCATCATCCCACATATAATAACAAACACACAGAGTGGATGATAACAACAAATTATCCATTCGTCCAATTCACTTACTGGCAATTCACGGAACTGATCGTTGTAGTCGATGCCATAACCAACTATGAATACATTCGGTACTTCGAATCCAACATCTACAAAATGTCATTTGAATCGATTAGGTTTGATGGAATACGTTAAAATGAGTATTGGTGAGTATCTAATGAAAAGTAGGTTACACTCGTGTTACACATGTTTACTATGTACGTTGTTACAGTTGATCACTGACTGTGTCATTAATTAAATAATTTTGAGTGACTCAAATATACACTTGATTTCATTTTAATGAAGATCGAAATAATAACTTGTGAGGAAAGAATTCACTGTTAAGTTCTCTTACACGGTTGTTATATTTCTGGTTGGATGCGTTTTCTGTGATCATAGACACTATGAATAGATGTTCTTTAGAAATGAAACTCGTACACGATGAATTTGTATTATTACAGAAAGGCAAACACAGTAATAATTCTTTATTCAATGTTGATCGAGTTCCATCTATCAGTAAATTAGTGAGTGATGTCTCACTGTTACTCTATGAATATCTATCTGTTCAATGAATTAGTTCGCAACGTCTATCCTCAACAAATTTTGTTGTACTATTGAAATGATTCTGACAAGAATACACCTTCATTCGAAGGCTCACACCCTCCAACCTAGAATGATTCAATTTACATATACTTATTCAATCATCATACACGTAATTAGAGGTACAAACAAATTAACTTTTGTACAAATACAGTGATAGTTCTGTTACGAACAATTTTAGTATTGAAGACTTACAGGTTGGTTTATATCCAGGAACCTCGGCTATTCTTTTGACTAGTAAACTATGATTCAATTGAAAAATGACATTAACACATGTTATTGCACAACTATCAATAGTAAAGTAATTGGTTTGGTGATTGTCAATGTGAAAATGCATAAAAACCAGGTCTAGCTGTTGAGTGTGAGCAGTCGATAGATCCGGTGCTCAAAGCATCTTACTGTCTATATAGGAACTTTCGTCTAAATGAGAACGAATATTTGCGCAGTATTTGGGTGCCGAATTGATGTGAGACATAAAATATGAAGAATATATTTGTAAACTCTCAGCGAATGAATTTTAAGTAAATCCAACGTTTCTCCTGGTAATCTGGTCCAAGCATTTTCAAGGAAATATTTCCATGAACATCTTACTAATTGTTTATGATAGGCTATACTAAGCAATCAATCCACTTGTTCAACACACTTAACATCCAACTCAATTTAATCATTACGTTCAATTCGAATGCATTCTATGACAATACTAAAGAGAGAACAACATAAAAAGAACATACCATGCAGAATAAACAGATTTCGGTTCGTATTTCCTCACAAATCTCTCCAGTTCGTTTAAACTTGTGCCAGTGTCAACCATATCTTCCACAATCAGTACATCCTTTCAAAAACAACCAAATGACCATTAGAAATTCCCTCCATCACCTTTCAACCTACCTTATCTCTGAACTTCTCCATATTTGTACACGGAGTGATGTTGGTATCATGACCTACTGAATCATCCTAAATATATTGATAGAAATTACTTCACAAAATATCATTACTACTTACGACGTATGTACTTGCAGCGAGGAAATCAATACTGACTTTGATGTAATTGTCACGTGTAAATGAATACTCTTGTAATGTTTTGAATAAGTCGGAAGCAAATTTGAAGCCTCCTTTCAATATACAAATTATGTAGACAGATTTTACACCACATTTCTCATAATCACTCAATATATCGATAGACATTCTTTCCAAACGATTCTCAATCATTCCTCCAGGAATCAAAATGGTCGAAATATGTTTTTCATAGGGTTCTGGTAAAGTGAAATTCTTCGCTGAATATCCTTCATAACTATCATCAAACTAAATGAAAAACAATTAAATACACTGTGTAGTCAAACTGAATACTTACGATTATGCAGTCATTTTTGTATTCACGTGAAGCCATTCCAACACTATCAAATAATCTATTCACAGTGAAGAGAACACTATTGAGATTATATAGAGTGAAGCACACAGTTGATCATCCAACCAAATATCTCGTCACAATAACCAATCAACTATCGACTTGATAGAAAGTCGAATTATGATGAGAATTGTGTAGGAGGAAATGGCGAACGAGATAGCTTGGAGAATATGATGGATTCATGGTATTTCACTGTCACATACAAGCTGCTACATTTATTCAGTTCGAAATAATAAGGTACTTTTGAATGAGCATGAAGAGATGAATAGTTCATGACAGAGTAATGAATTGTTTTGAAAATAACATTGTAATGGAGTTGGAATGAAGACACTGACAGAGTATTTGTAAATGAAGAGGATGATAACTCTGGAGTACTGGAGATGACTGGATTGTGTGATCTGACAAAGATCTATTCATCAATAATGAAGACTGTAGATTGAAATAAGAGACAGAAATCAACTCACTCAATTGTACTCATGGTTAAATGAATAATGAAACAAAAATCGAACCAATTCACAGTTCAGCACCAACCAGTAACAAATATCATCATCATTATCGTCTTCATGGAGTCATGTGTTCTGATGGATGAGCATTTTGATATTACTGGACACAAGGTTATCAGGAAACAGTGTTTCACTGATTACATTATGGAAATGAGGGTAGTCAAGTATTATTTGGTGAAATGTTTCACTCGATTAGGTTGTTTGATTATTCACAAGAATTTGTTGTATGAAATGAAATGCAGATTATCGTTTTGATAAGTGAAATATGCAACTACTTGTTGCAATGTGTTAGACAACAATTATTATTGTAGTGGGACAGATTGTGTACATTCATAGCTTAGTCAAGTGAAAGCATTCACCTTGTACTCAATTGTGTTGCAGATAGTTACTGTTGTTTACTGGAAATATTAAATAGTGATTAGTGCATAAGTATGATCTGATGACGATCTGATCATATTCACAACTACAAACTGATGGGCATTCGTTATCATTTTTGAGAGTGTTAGATGTGTGATTAGTTGGTTAAACGGTACACTAGTTCACTGTTTGTGTAGTTACTCATTTCACATTAAACTTATTCCTACTCTTGTTCCATTGAAACATTTAACATTTGTGTGAAGTGGATATTGTGCACAGCATATGAGTAGTCATTCTGATGATGACACATGAACCATTAGATTCATTATTAGCAATGGAGAGGCCATCATCACTCCATTCATGATTAACAATCTTATTGAAACGATGCATTTATATAATTCAGTTAGATGTTGTTTCCTACTTCATATCTTCAATTCAAGTTTTTTCTATTCTAAATCTTACCAGACAACTACGTTTCAGACTGAATAGAACTTTTGAATATTCAATAGTAGTTTATGACCACAGTGTAATTACATTAAGACATTTCAACATAGACAAAGAAGGTAAAAATAAATTAGAGATTGTTGACCTGAAGTAGACTAATTATTGAAGTTATTAACTGAACAAATACCACAAATTAGTTTGGAATTGACACAATCATATAATAAATTAATGTGGAATGTTGATGATAACATAAATGAATTGACTGTAGTTATTTTGTTTATTGCCAAATCATATGCGGTCATATTTGATGGTTTTCAATTTCTTTGTTCACAGATATGGCGATGCTGATGATGACGATGTTGCGTATTTTGTTCTTCATAGTCTATTTTGACTGACTTAAGATCCTCGGTAAGACATTTTGAATGCTGCGTTTAATATAACATGATAATCACATTGCTCTATGAAAAACAGTAGTTTTCGGAACAAGTCAATATCATATGGTCTACACTCCAACATTCACACAAGAACACTGGGAAATTGAATTACAACTTCCATGATGTGGAATTATTGGTCTGAAGTTATTCGTTTCTATTCAGACTTTTGGTAGATGGCACTTCAATTCATTGAAATACATCCTGTGAATTGTTCATTGTTCACTGTCCCCACGAATACAGACGAACAGCAAAGAAATTTGACACATGTAAGAATTTGGATGCTCCACATGAGCCGTCTTTTATTGAGAACTGAATATTGAACTTCCTCATTAACCATAAAGTTTGGAGGATGTCAATGTTTGTAATTCTCTCTTTCGTTAATCAATTCTGATAAAGCTGTGTAGACAGGTTGATGAGAGTCGAAATCTGATCATCATCACCATAGTGAGTCTCCAACTGTCTGATTGGTTAATTCTTTGTTCGATCTGATATTTTGTTATATGTAGCCGACTTCATTGTCATCACTATCTTAATAGGTTTGTATGATCCCGTTTCTCCACATTATCAGGGGGTGGGTGGATAACCTCTCATTCCAAAACCACCATCTCCATTTCGAGACGTTTTGATAACTGTAATTGCAGTGCTGTAATTTGGTAGTGGGAGCAGCTATCAGACACAAATGAAATGGGGAATTCGCTTCAGTTCCTGATCATTCACCCGTGGGTAAGTGGGATGGTATTTGTACATTCTACGATTTCAATAAATATTATATCGATGTTATGGTTGATGGAAATAACCCATGTTTTAAAGTGAGTGCTATTCTACTAACTGGAAAATAGAGTTTATACTATATTTCTGACTGATTTTCCTACTGGATATAAGCAAATCTTTGGTGAACGAGAATTTCCACCTCTGTTGCGATTTCTGGTTAACTTCAATGAATGAATGGAATATCGATCGTTTATATTGGTTAGTGAACCATATGATATTCACTATTGACCATAGCTGTCCAATCATTCACATGCATGTTCGAGTAGACCGTTAAAATATTCAACCAGTTATTGAATGAAAAAGAAGTCGTTTTTCTTACTTTCATCAATCAAACAAATCTAGTTTGATAGGATTCCGAGTGGATACATGATTGAAACCTAAATCAGGTTATGCTTCAATTGACTTGAAGTGCTTGAGGAAACTGGATTTAGTCGGGCGAATTTCCTACACAATTCTACTCGTAGAGGTCAATCACCTAGACTTGCCAAAATGTGTGACCTATCACACCATCTGAGATTGTGTGGGGAAAGATGTTGGAAATACTGTGGTCTAGTATGGAGGTCGATTTCGTTCGTTGTTCAGAGATGGTTTCGACTTGTAGTGGCTAGTATTATGTCAAACCCACATGGGTTATTCTAGCTTCTGAACAGACCGACTTATTCACTCCTCTCATACCATATTTTAACCTTGTCAATTGTTTCCTTACTATTTCTGACTGTTCTTACATGATTGTATGCGTGTTAATTGTTTTCCCTATTTATCATGTGTTTGTCTGTAAATTATTTTTGTATGAATATAAATATTGAATCACGTTTAATCAAAACGAGTTGGCTCACTCGCCTTCTCCTCGAAGCATCACTTCGTTTCGTTTCGTTCATTTCCCTTTCTTCACTCCGTTTCTCTGATTGTTTGTCTGGATCAATGAGTGTTCGAAATAAATGAACTCAAAATGCATTCGCATATTTGGCTAGTTTCATTCCATTATTCTCTAACGCAAATTTAGTCGATAATCATATACGAGGGTTAAAGACATGTCTATTTCGATAACAATCAGCATACGATCTAACTGGAGTCAGATGACTACTACTACTTTACGTGGGCGAATAAACAATAGTCTGACTGAGCTTTGGAACTTCATAAATCACAATACTGTCTCATTATAATAAAGAAAACGACCAACAAAGATGAAACTATTTATTGTTTTTTTTCATACAATACCTTCCATATGATAACGGCACGTACTTCAATCAAATTTATTTTCTTTTCATTTTCTATTAGAGGTTAGAAATTCTTGTACTTCACTTATTGAAGTTTAGATAATTAATCAAGAAAAATAGACTGGAGTAAACTAAAAAATGTTGAGTTTTAGTAAACAAAGATGGATAGTGGCTAGCAGTGGAATCCAGGATGCGCGTTCCGTCCTATTTGGGACTCGTCAGCTGGATGTACCTGCATCTGAGTTGATGCTCACTCTGTGACTCGAACCCAGTACCTTTCGGTTCAAACGCCATCACGTTATTCGCTTGACCACTGAGTCCAAAAAATATGCATTTTTTAATGTATACGTAGTGACATTGAATGAGAGAATGTCCAACACAAATCTGATTATTTACTCGGTTAATAAATGGTTAAACAAAGCATGAGATGTTAACCTTTGCCAAGGAATTCACGTTTGCCTTCATCGTTCACTGCACACACATGCTTGAAAAGGAGAGGAAATAATCAAAGGAGAAAAAGTAAACAATATTAACATTTTCACTGGACAATGTCAAAGCAAATTTCAATCATTTCATTCATTCATTCATTCACATGATACATGCTCCACTTTTTGTTGGTCAACGTAATAACTTGCTTACATTCATACCTACTCACCACTCTGCAATACAATTTAATTATTCGACACATCAAACTTCATCATCCCACATATAATAACAAACACACAGAGTGGATGATAACAACAAATTATCCATTCGTCCAATTCACTTACTGGCAATTCACGGAACTGATCGTTGTAGTCGATGCCATAACCAACTATGAATACATTCGGTACTTCGAATCCAACATCTACAAAATGTCATTTGAATCGATTAGGTTTGATGGAATACGTTAAAATGAGTATTGGTGAGTATCTAATGAAAAGTAGGTTACACTCGTGTTACACATGTTTACTATGTACGTTGTTACAGTTGATCACTGACTGTGTCATTAATTAAATAATTTTGAGTGACTCAAATATACACTTGATTTCATTTTAATGAAGATCGAAATAATAACTTGTGAGGAAAGAATTCACTGTTAAGTTCTCTTACACGGTTGTTATATTTCTGGTTGGATGCGTTTTCTGTGATCATAGACACTATGAATAGATGTTCTTTAGAAATGAAACTCGTACACGATGAATTTGTATTATTACAGAAAGGCAAACACAGTAATAATTCTTTATTCAATGTTGATCGAGTTCCATCTATCAGTAAATTAGTGAGTGATGTCTCACTGTTACTCTATGAATATCTATCTGTTCAATGAATTAGTTCGCAACGTCTATCCTCAACAAATTTTGTTGTACTATTGAAATGATTCTGACAAGAATACACCTTCATTCGAAGGCTCACACCCTCCAACCTAGAATGATTCAATTTACATATACTTATTCAATCATCATACACGTAATTAGAGGTACAAACAAATTAACTTTTGTACAAATACAGTGATAGTTCTGTTACGAACAATTTTAGTATTGAAGACTTACAGGTTGGTTTATATCCAGGAACCTCGGCTATTCTTTTGACTAGTAAACTATGATTCAATTGAAAAATGACATTAACACATGTTATTGCACAACTATCAATAGTAAAGTAATTGGTTTGGTGATTGTCAATGTGAAAATGCATAAAAACCAGGTCTAGCTGTTGAGTGTGAGCAGTCGATAGATCCGGTGCTCAAAGCATCTTACTGTCTATATAGGAACTTTCGTCTAAATGAGAACGAATATTTGCGCAGTATTTGGGTGCCGAATTGATGTGAGACATAAAATATGAAGAATATATTTGTAAACTCTCAGCGAATGAATTTTAAGTAAATCCAACGTTTCTCCTGGTAATCTGGTCCAAGCATTTTCAAGGAAATATTTCCATGAACATCTTACTAATTTTTTATGATAGGCTATACTAAGCAATCAATCCACTTGTTCAACACACTTAACATCCAACTCAATTTAATCATTACGTTCAATTCGAATGCATTCTATGACAATACTAAAGAGAGAACAACATAAAAAGAACATACCATGCAGAATAAACAGATTTCGGTTCGTATTTCCTCACAAATCTCTCCAGTTCGTTTAAACTTGTGCCAGTGTCAACCATATCTTCCACAATCAGTACATCCTTTCAAAAACAACCAAATGACCATTAGAAATTCCCTCCATCACCTTTCAACCTACCTTATCTCTGAACTTCTCCATATTTGTACACGGAGTGATGTTGGTATCATGACCTACTGAATCATCCTAAATATATTGATAGAAATTACTTCACAAAATATCATTACTACTTACGACGTATGTACTTGCAGCGAGGAAATCAATACTGACTTTGATGTAATTGTCACGTGTAAATGAATACTCTTGTAATGTTTTGAATAAGTCGGAAGCAAATTTGAAGCCTCCTTTCAATATACAAATTATGTAGACAGATTTTACACCACATTTCTCATAATCACTCAATATATCGATAGACATTCTTTCCAAACGATTCTCAATCATTCCTCCAGGAATCAAAATGGTCGAAATATGTTTTTCATAGGGTTCTGGTAAAGTGAAATTCTTCGCTGAATATCCTTCATAACTATCATCAAACTAAATGAAAAACAATTAAATACACTGTGTAGTCAAACTGAATACTTACGATTATGCAGTCATTTTTGTATTCACGTGAAGCCATTCCAACACTATCAAATAATCTATTCACAGTGAAGAGAACACTATTGAGATTATATAGAGTGAAGCACACAGTTGATCATCCAACCAAATATCTCGTCACAATAACCAATCAACTATCGACTTGATAGAAAGTCGAATTATGATGAGAATTGTGTAGGAGGAAATGGCGAACGAGATAGCTTGGAGAATATGATGGATTCATGGTATTTCACTGTCACATACAAGCTGCTACATTTATTCAGTTCGAAATAATAAGGTACTTTTGAATGAGCATGAAGAGATGAATAGTTCATGACAGAGTAATGAATTGTTTTGAAAATAACATTGTAATGGAGTTGGAATGAAGACACTGACAGAGTATTTGTAAATGAAGAGGATGATAACTCTGGAGTACTGGAGATGACTGGATTGTGTGATCTGACAAAGATCTATTCATCAATAATGAAGACTGTAGATTGAAATAAGAGACAGAAATCAACTCACTCAATTGTACTCATGGTTAAATGAATAATGAAACAAAAATCGAACCAATTCACAGTTCAGCACCAACCAGTAACAAATATCATCATCATTATCGTCTTCATGGAGTCATGTGTTCTGATGGATGAGCATTTTGATATTACTGGACACAAGGTTATCAGGAAACAGTGTTTCACTGATTACATTATGGAAATGAGGGTAGTCAAGTATTATTTGGTGAAATGTTTCACTCGATTAGGTTGTTTGATTATTCACAAGAATTTGTTGTATGAAATGAAATGCAGATTATCGTTTTGATAAGTGAAATATGCAACTACTTGTTGCAATGTGTTAGACAACAATTATTATTGTAGTGGGACAGATTGTGTACATTCATAGCTTAGTCAAGTGAAAGCATTCACCTTGTACTCAATTGTGTTGCAGATAGTTACTGTTGTTTACTGGAAATATTAAATAGTGATTAGTGCATAAGTATGATCTGATGACGATCTGATCATATTCACAACTACAAACTGATGGGCATTCGTTATCATTTTTGAGAGTGTTAGATGTGTGATTAGTTGGTTAAACGGTACACTAGTTCACTGTTTGTGTAGTTACTCATTTCACATTAAACTTATTCCTACTCTTGTTCCATTGAAACATTTAACATTTGTGTGAAGTGGATATTGTGCACAGCATATGAGTAGTCATTCTGATGATGACACATGAACCATTAGATTCATTATTAGCAATGGAGAGGCCATCATCACTCCATTCATGATTAACAATCTTATTGAAACGATGCATTTATATAATTCAGTTAGATGTTGTTTCCTACTTCATATCTTCAATTCAAGTTTTTTCTATTCTAAATCTTACCAGACAACTACGTTTCAGACTGAATAGAACTTTTGAATATTCAATAGTAGTTTATGACCACAGTGTAATTACATTAAGACATTTCAACATAGACAAAGAAGGTAAAAATAAATTAGAGATTGTTGACCTGAAGTAGACTAATTATTGAAGTTATTAACTGAACAAATACCACAAATTAGTTTGGAATTGACACAATCATATAATAAATTAATGTGGAATGTTGATGATAACATAAATGAATTGACTGTAGTTATTTTGTTTATTGCCAAATCATATGCGGTCATATTTGATGGTTTTCAATTTCTTTGTTCACAGATATGGCGATGCTGATGATGACGATGTTGCGTATTTTGTTCTTCATAGTCTATTTTGACTGACTTAAGATCCTCGGTAAGACATTTTGAATGCTGCGTTTAATATAACATGATAATCACATTGCTCTATGAAAAACAGTAGTTTTCGGAACAAGTCAATATCATATGGTCTACACTCCAACATTCACACAAGAACACTGGGAAATTGAATTACAACTTCCATGATGTGGAATTATTGGTCTGAAGTTATTCGTTTCTATTCAGACTTTTGGTAGATGGCACTTCAATTCATTGAAATACATCCTGTGAATTGTTCATTGTTCACTGTCCCCACGAATACAGACGAACAGCAAAGAAATTTGACACATGTAAGAATTTGGATGCTCCACATGAGCCGTCTTTTATTGAGAACTGAATATTGAACTTCCTCATTAACCATAAAGTTTGGAGGATGTCAATGTTTGTAATTCTCTCTTTCGTTAATCAATTCTGATAAAGCTGTGTAGACAGGTTGATGAGAGTCGAAATCTGATCATCATCACCATAGTGAGTCTCCAACTGTCTGATTGGTTAATTCTTTGTTCGATCTGATATTTTGTTATATGTAGCCGACTTCATTGTCATCACTATCTTAATAGGTTTGTATGATCCCGTTTCTCCACATTATCAGGGGGTGGGTGGATAACCTCTCATTCCAAAACCACCATCTCCATTTCGAGACGTTTTGATAACTGTAATTGCAGTGCTGTAATTTGGTAGTGGGAGCAGCTATCAGACACAAATGAAATGGGGAATTCGCTTCAGTTCCTGATCATTCACCCGTGGGTAAGTGGGATGGTATTTGTACATTCTACGATTTCAATAAATATTATATCGATGTTATGGTTGATGGAAATAACCCATGTTTTAAAGTGAGTGCTATTCTACTAACTGGAAAATAGAGTTTATACTATATTTCTGACTGATTTTCCTACTGGATATAAGCAAATCTTTGGTGAACGAGAATTTCCACCTCTGTTGCGATTTCTGGTTAACTTCAATGAATGAATGGAATATCGATCGTTTATATTGGTTAGTGAACCATATGATATTCACTATTGACCATAGCTGTCCAATCATTCACATGCATGTTCGAGTAGACCGTTAAAATATTCAACCAGTTATTGAATGAAAAAGAAGTCGTTTTTCTTACTTTCATCAATCAAACAAATCTAGTTTGATAGGATTCCGAGTGGATACATGATTGAAACCTAAATCAGGTTATGCTTCAATTGACTTGAAGTGCTTGAGGAAACTGGATTTAGTCGGGCGAATTTCCTACACAATTCTACTCGTAGAGGTCAACCACCTAGACTTGCCAAAATGTGTGACCTATCACACCATCTGAGATTGTGTGGGGAAAGATGTTGGAAATACTGTGGTCTAGTATGGAGGTCGATTTCGTTCGTTGTTCAGAGATGGTTTCGACTTGTAGTGGCTAGTATTATGTCAAACCCACATGGGTTATTCTAGCTTCTGAACAGACCGACTTATTCACTCCTCTCATACCATATTTTAACCTTGTCAATTGTTTCCTTACTATTTCTGACTGTTCTTACATGATTGTATGCGTGTTAATTGTTTTCCCTATTTATCATGTGTTTGTCTGTAAATTATTTTTGTATGAATATAAATATTGAATCACGTTTAATCAAAACGAGTTGGCTCACTCGCCTTCTCCTCGAAGCATCACTTCGTTTCGTTTCGTTCATTTCCCTTTCTTCACTCCGTTTCTCTGATTGTTTGTCTGGATCAATGAGTGTTCGAAATAAATGAACTCAAAATGCATTCGCATATTTGGCTAGTTTCATTCCATTATTCTCTAACGCAAATTTAGTCGATAATCATATACGAGGGTTAAAGACATGTCTATTTCGATAACAATCAGCATACGATCTAACTGGAGTCAGATGACTACTACTACTTTACGTGGGCGAATAAACAATAGTCTGACTGAGCTTTGGAACTTCATAAATCACAATACTGTCTCATTATAATAAAGAAAACGACCAACAAAGATGAAACTATTTATTGTTTTTTTCATACAATACCTTCCATATGATAACGGCACGTACTTCAATCAAATTTATTTTCTTTTCATTTTCTATTAGAGGTTAGAAATTCTTGTACTTCACTTATTGAAGTTTAGATAATTAATCAAGAAAAATAGACTGGAGTAAACTAAAAAATGTTGAGTTTTAGTAAACAAAGATGGATAGTGGCTAGCAGTGGAATCCAGGATGCGCGTTCCGTCCTATTTGGGACTCGTCAGCTGGATGTACCTGCATCTGAGTTGATGCTCACTCTGTGACTCGAACCCAGTACCTTTCGGTTCAAACGCCATCACGTTATTCGCTTGACCACTGAGTCCAAAAAATATGCATTTTTTAATGTATACGTAGTGACATTGAATGAGAGAATGTCCAACACAAATCTGATTATTTACTCGGTTAATAAATGGTTAAACAAAGCATGAGATGTTAACCTTTGCCAAGGAATTCACGTTTGCCTTCATCGTTCACTGCACACACATGCTTGAAAAGGAGAGGAAATAATCAAAGGAGAAAAAGTAAACAATATTAACATTTTCACTGGACAATGTCAAAGCAAATTTCAATCATTTCATTCATTCATTCATTCACATGATACATGCTCCACTTTTTGTTGGTCAACGTAATAACTTGCTTACATTCATACCTACTCACCACTCTGCAATACAATTTAATTATTCGACACATCAAACTTCATCATCCCACATATAATAACAAACACACAGAGTGGATGATAACAACAAATTATCCATTCGTCCAATTCACTTACTGGCAATTCACGGAACTGATCGTTGTAGTCGATGCCATAACCAACTATGAATACATTCGGTACTTCGAATCCAACATCTACAAAATGTCATTTGAATCGATTAGGTTTGATGGAATACGTTAAAATGAGTATTGGTGAGTATCTAATGAAAAGTAGGTTACACTCGTGTTACACATGTTTACTATGTACGTTGTTACAGTTGATCACTGACTGTGTCATTAATTAAATAATTTTGAGTGACTCAAATATACACTTGATTTCATTTTAATGAAGATCGAAATAATAACTTGTGAGGAAAGAATTCACTGTTAAGTTCTCTTACACGGTTGTTATATTTCTGGTTGGATGCGTTTTCTGTGATCATAGACACTATGAATAGATGTTCTTTAGAAATGAAACTCGTACACGATGAATTTGTATTATTACAGAAAGGCAAACACAGTAATAATTCTTTATTCAATGTTGATCGAGTTCCATCTATCAGTAAATTAGTGAGTGATGTCTCACTGTTACTCTATGAATATCTATCTGTTCAATGAATTAGTTCGCAACGTCTATCCTCAACAAATTTTGTTGTACTATTGAAATGATTCTGACAAGAATACACCTTCATTCGAAGGCTCACACCCTCCAACCTAGAATGATTCAATTTACATATACTTATTCAATCATCATACGCGTAATTAGAGGTACAAACAAATTAACTTTTGTACAAATACAGTGATAGTTCTGTTACGAACAATTTTAGTATTGAAGACTTACAGGTTGGTTTATATCCAGGAACCTCGGCTATTCTTTTGACTAGTAAACTATGATTCAATTGAAAAATGACATTAACACATGTTATTGCACAACTATCAATAGTAAAGTAATTGGTTTGGTGATTGTCAATGTGAAAATGCATAAAAACCAGGTCTAGCTGTTGAGTGTGAGCAGTCGATAGATCCGGTGCTCAAAGCATCTTACTGTCTATATAGGAACTTTCGTCTAAATGAGAACGAATATTTGCGCAGTATTTGGGTGCCGAATTGATGTGAGACATAAAATATGAAGAATATATTTGTAAACTCTCAGCGAATGAATTTTAAGTAAATCCAACGTTTCTCCTGGTAATCTGGTCCAAGCATTTTCAAGGAAATATTTCCATGAACATCTTACTAATTGTTTATGATAGGCTATACTAAGCAATCAATCCACTTGTTCAACACACTTAACATCCAACTCAATTTAATCATTACGTTCAATTCGAATGCATTCTATGACAATACTAAAGAGAGAACAACATAAAAAGAACATACCATGCAGAATAAACAGATTTCGGTTCGTATTTCCTCACAAATCTCTCCAGTTCGTTTAAACTTGTGCCAGTGTCAACCATATCTTCCACAATCAGTACATCCTTTCAAAAACAACCAAATGACCATTAGAAATTCCCTCCATCACCTTTCAACCTACCTTATCTCTGAACTTCTCCATATTTGTACACGGGGTGATGTTGGTATCATGACCTACTGAATCATCCTAAATATATTGATAGAAATTACTTCACAAAATATCATTACTACTTACGACGTATGTACTTGCAGCGAGGAAATCAATACTGACTTTGATGTAATTGTCACGTGTAAATGAATACTTTTGTAATGTTTTGAATAAGTCGGAAGCAAATTTGAAGCCTCCTTTCAATATACAAATTATGTAGACAGATTTTACACCACATTTCTCATAATCACTCAATATATCAATAGACATTCTTTCCAAACGACTCCGAACCATTCCTCCAGGAATCAAAATGGTCGAAATATGTTTTTCATAGGGTTCTGGTAAAGTGAAATTCTTCGCTGAATATCCTTCATAACTATCATCAAACTAAATGAAAAACAATTAAATACACTGTGTAGTCAAACTGAATACTTACGATTATGCAGTCATTTTTGTATTCACGTGAAGCCATTCCAACACTATCAAATAATCTATTCACAGTGAAGAGAACACTATTGAGATTATATAGAGTGAAGCACACAGTTGATCATCCAACCAAATATCTCGTCACAATAACCAATCAACTATCGACTTGATAGAAAGTCGAATTATGATGAGAATTGTGTAGGAGGAAATGGCGAACGAGATAGCTTGGAGAATATGATGGATTCATGGTATTTCACTGTCACATACAAGCTGCTACATTTATTCAGTTCGAAATAATAAGGTACTTTTGAATGAGCATGAAGAGATGAATAGTTCATGACAGAGTAATGAATTGTTTTGAAAATAACATTGTAATGGAGTTGGAATGAAGACACTGACAGAGTATTTGTAAATGAAGAGGATGATAACTCTGGAGTACTGGAGATGACTGGATTGTGTGATCTGACAAAGATCTATTCATCAATAATGAAGACTGTAGATTGAAATAAGAGACAGAAATCAACTCACTCAATTGTACTCATGGTTAAATGAATAATGAAACAAAAATCGAACCAATTCACAGTTCAGCACCAACCAGTAACAAATATCATCATCATTATCGTCATCATGGAGTCATGTGTTCCCAGTTTAACACCAACCTCGCGGATGACTTACCTCTTCTATCTCATACACACCAACAAATGCATGTAAAGACAGCTAACGCAGCAGTAGCCTCTGCATCAGTAGACTTCGAAATACTGAAGGAAATAGCTAGATCTTAAAATAGAAAGCAGAAAGCACCAATTCAAACACACTCGACGGAGAAGCTATAGAGGACATCGAAACTTTCACGTATCTGGAGAGCATCATCGATAAACATAGAGGATTTTATGCAGATGTGAGGGCATGGTTTGGAAAAACAAGGACAGCATTCCTACGATTCGAGATTATGCGGAATTCAAAACAGCTGTTAGCCAGCATTAAAGTCAGAATCTTCAATATAAACATCGATATTGTTCTATTGCAATAAACTGAAATGTGGAGAACTACCACAACCATCAGCGAAAAATTACACGTATTAATATAGATGTTTTCGCAGAATGCATAGAAGGTAATCCCTAACTCGGAATCCTGACGACAAGAAGAAAAGAGGAAGGCATAGAGACTCATTGCACGAGGAGTTGGAGACAGACATCAAAAGAATGAATAACAATTGGTAACAACTGGAAAGGAGGGACCCGGACAAAGTTGGTTGAAGATACCCAGTAGACGGCCTATGCTCCTTTATGGGTAACAGGAGTAAGTAACTTAACTTAATACCAGAAATATAACATCAGAAGACTTACGTGTGTTATGGTGAATCCAATTGAGTGAATGCATATGACGATTCAGAATACGCGTAATTTGGTTCATAATATTCCCATTATTTGATGAAGTTAGTTTATTATTACCATTATTCAAGTGAATTCCAAATTATTAGCGTACCCATGCCTTTTCAGTGCTCAATAAAATTAATAAAAACCAAGTATTTTTGATCACTTCTTGTTCATTTATTGAAACTTGGAGAACTGCTATAACTATTACCAGATAAGGGCAAGTATTTATAAGAAATCGTCAAAAAAAGCAACTCGATGTCTTTCTGTCGGATACCATAAGCAACAGTCTGCTGTAGGAGTTAATACAACAGCTTTGAGCTGAAGAAGGAATCAAGAAAAGATATTAGAGGTGGATAGGACTTACGTAGCGGAAATAAACTAACTGCATAATAAAGCAAGTCCAACTTGAAATCTTGAAGGAAAAAAGGGAAAAAGAAAGACCAACGAACGCGTTGGAAGCAGAAATTAAAAGGTCGCATAAAAACTGTGAAACACTGCAAGGTATTCCCCGGAACAGGGTTCTGTAAAGAATTTAGGAGGAAGTATTTACTCCTCCGCGAGGAGTAACAGGTGTAAGTAGAGCAAGTTAGTGACACTAAAATCTATTCTAGAAATTAAAACATTTTAAGAAATCCTTCACTTCCTGATTTAATTTGCTGGCAGGAAAATTTCCTGGATATATAGGTTCTATAATCACAAAAACACCAAACAGAAAACTTCAGATTAATAATAAATCAGTACCATTTTCAAATAATGAAAAAAAGTAATGAAATATACAAAGTATACGACAATTGAAATAGATAGTCACCACATAGCAATAAAAGCTACCAGTATCAAATTGAGTGCTTTTGAAGTGCCAAATATTCAACATTAAATCAGTTACATACTCTGTATCTGTCAGAAAAAACTGATTCAGTTACAACTCATATGACCGCATATGATTTGGCAATAAACGAAATAACTACAGTCAATTCATTTAGGTTATCATCAACATTCCACATTAATTTATGATACGATTGTGTCAATTCCAAACTAATTTGTGGTATTTGTTCAGTTAATAAATTCAAATGAATAAATTTCATGGAAACTATTGCCATTCATTCAATAATTAGTCTACTTCAGGTCAACATTCTCTTGAAAAATGACCTTTGTATTTGTTTTTTTTTCCTTTTCCCTAATGTACTAGTGAAGTGAACAAGGAGACGAGCTGGGACAATCGAATGTACTTAAGCACAAATTACAAATTAATTTAATCGACTCATTATTACAACTATTAAATTACTATGATCTTCACAAAACCCTTTTCTGATATTGAATTATAATCATAGTTGAAAGCATGAGTCAATTGAAGCTAGACTATCATGGAAAACCTGGAAGCACAGGAAGACTGTTTCGTCCTATTGTGTGACTCCTCAGCAGTACGCATCCATGATCTCGCCTCGCAAGATTTGAACTCAGGACCTACCAGTCTCGCTCCAGAGCAGTTAACCGATAGACCATTCAGTGCACTGCCGATGAGTCCCACAATAGGACGTAACGGTCTTCCAGTGCTTCCAGGTTTTCCTTGGTGGTCTTGGTTCTATTGACTCATGCTTTCAACTATGAAAATACTGAAATCTCTAAAAAACCCCTTCTGATAATGAATTATAACTTGAATATTTTTTACTAAAAAAATTAAAGAAGGCAATTTAATCAAATACTTAAGTGATTAGTAGTTATGCCCATTATTAACCAATCAAATTGTTGCCCACTATGTCAATCTGGTCTGATGTGTCTGTAATCTATTCCTGTTGCGTGTGTCTTACCAATTAAAGGACATTATCATCCCTATTATATATTGGTGTGACTTAAAATTTTTATTCATTTCGATAAGATACACAATACTGGTCGGTATGTTTCTTTTTCGTGACTATCATTCCTTTAATTATTATACTAGTCAAATTGTACTTTTTTTTCTACGTTTAAAAACAGATAAATTTTAAAGTTGAATTGTCCTTGTTCTGACTATAACTTTCACATTGACTCTAGGATCGTCTGTATCGCTTTTACAATTCTAGTAGTAGAGATCTATAGGATAAATTAAATCCTACAACAACAAGTGTTTCTTGATTATTATTATTCAACTGTTTTACTTATTTTGTTTAATCATTCAACGTTACTTTCTGTAAAAGCCTAATGACGAATACAGTGAGTATTTTTTTAGTGTTCGTACGGTTTCTTTTTCAAGAAAACATTAGGTTGACATTTTTTCTTAATTCATCTAAAAAAATATACCAGAGATTTATAGAGATTGTAGTATTTTCACAAAATTTTTTTAATAAATATACCCATACTGTGAAATGTATGAACCAAGTAATCATTGAAAACAGTTTCAATGATGTTTACCTTCAAGGCCACGCCTCTGCCAAGGAAGTTCTACTCACTGCCTTCTTCTGGCACGGGTGTTGTTCACGAAATTGAGAGGACGAAAAGTGAATTTTCGACGTTTTAACCGGCTTAGTGGACACGGAATGTCCACCTAGGGGAGTTGGAAAACCCTGATTCCAAACCAGTGGTGTACATGAGCTCCAGGATCCTGAGGAAACAAATGGCGTATGAACCCATTGTTGGTGACCGGCTACCATAGGACTGCATCTCCTTACGATACTCTACTGTCTTAAGGATCAGATCTTTAGGTTAAAGGCTCAGGGTATGGTCCTCCTAAGAAAACCACCTGCTGCAGTTTGAACACCTGGGCAGCATCCCAGCCCTCACACAAATCAAATGAGATTTGTGTGGCACATATATATCTGATGCACTTTTGTACCAATATTTACGTATTTAAATAAATAAACATTTTTCTCATTAAAAGTAGTAAGGAAGTTGAAATATTTGATAATCATTGAAATACATTTAACAGTACAATAATCTTTGGAATAATAAAAATTCCTAGAAAAATAAGACTCATACTAGGAACCGAACAGCCGCACAATACTTCCAAGTAGTCTAGTTTTAATTAACTTGTTAATTCAATTGTTAATTGACAGAGTTAACAATAATATTACCAACTAAATTCTGTCAAGCACTTTATAGAATGGAAGAAATTACCTGAAATACAAATTAAATCATAATAATATACAATAAAACTCAACATTGCTTGTGAATTTAGGCTATATTGACGCGATACGCACAGTATGCAGATATGCCAATTAAAGACTGACCAGTTGCAGTCCTAAAACGTCAATGGGAAGATTCAAGCAAACAATACCAAATGAATTTAGACTTCACACCATTGTACAAGAAAGTGGCTATCGCGACTCAGTGGTCAAGCGAATAACGTGATGGCGTTTGAACCGAAAGGTACTGGGTTCGAGTCACAGAGTGAGCATCAACTCAGATGCAGGTACATCCAGCTGACGAGTCCCAAATAGGACGGAACGCGCATCCTGGATTCCACTGCTAGCCACTATCCATCTTTGTTTACTAAAACTCAACATTTTTTAGTTTACTCCAGTCTATTTTTCTTGATTAATTATCTAAACTTCAATAAGTGAAGTACAAGAATTTCTAACCTCTAATAGAAAATGAAAAGAAAATAAATTTGATTGAAGTACGTGCCGTTATCATATGGAAGGTATTGTATGAAAAAAAACAATAAATAGTTTCATCTTTGTTGGTCGTTTTCTTTATTATAATGAGACAGTATTGTGATTTATGAAGTTCCAAAGCTCAGTCAGACTATTGTTTATTCGCCCACGTAAAGTAGTAGTAGTCATCTGACTCCAGTTAGATCGTATGCTGATTGTTATCGAAATAGACATGTCTTTAACCCTCGTATATGATTATCGACTAAATTTGCGTTAGAGAATAATGGAATGAAACTAGCCAAATATGCGAATGCATTTTGAGTTCATTTATTTCGAACACTCATTGATCCAGACAAACAATCAGAGAAACGGAGTGAAGAAAGGGAAATGAACGAAACGAAACGAAGTGATGCTTCGAGGAGAAGGCGAGTGAGCCAACTCGTTTTGATTAAACGTGATTCAATATTTATATTCATACAAAAATAATTTACAGACAAACACATGATAAATAGGGAAAACAATTAACACGCATACAATCATGTAAGAACAGTCAGAAATAGTAAGGAAACAATTGACAAGGTTAAAATATGGTATGAGAGGAGTGAATAAGTCGGTCTGTTCAGAAGCTAGAATAACCCATGTGGGTTTGACATAATACTAGCCACTACAAGTCGAAACCATCTCTGAACAACGAACGAAATCGACCTCCATACTAGACCACAGTATTTCCAACATCTTTCCCCACACAATCTCAGATGGTGTGATAGGTCACACATTTTGGCAAGTCTAGGTGGTTGACCTCTACGAGTAGAATTGTGTAGGAAATTCGCCCGACTAAATCCAGTTTCCTCAAGCACTTCAAGTCAATTGAAGCATAACCTGATTTAGGTTTCAATCATGTATCCACTCGGAATCCTATCAAACTAGATTTGTTTGATTGATGAAAGTAAGAAAAACGACTTCTTTTTCATTCAATAACTGGTTGAATATTTTAACGGTCTACTCGAACATGCATGTAAATGATTGGACAGCTATGGTCAATAGTGAATATCATATGGTTCACTAACCAATATAAACGATCGATATTCCATTCATTCATTGAAGTTAACCAGAAATCGCAACAGAGGTGGAAATTCTCGTTCACCAAAGATTTGCTTATATCCAGTAGGAAAATCAGTCAGAAATATAGTATAAACTCTATTTTCCAGTTAGTAGAATAGCACTCACTTTAAAACATGGGTTATTTCCACCAACCATAACATCGATATAATATTTATTGAAATCGTAGAATGTACAAATACCATCCCACTTACCCACGGGTGAATGATCAGGAACTGAAGCGAATTCCCCATTTCATTTGTGTCTGATAGCTGCTCCCACTACCAAATTACAGCACTGCAATTACAGTTATCAAAACGTCTCGAAATGGAGATGGTGGTTTTGGAATGAGAGGTTATCCACCCACCCCCTGATAATGTGGAGAAACGGGATCATACAAACCTATTAAGATAGTGATGACAATGAAGTCGGCTACATATAACAAAATATCAGATCGAACAAAGAATTAACCAATCAGACAGTTGGAGACTCACTATGGTGATGATGATCAGATTTCGACTCTCATCAACCTGTCTACACAGCTTTATCAGAATTGATTAACGAAAGAGAGAATTACAAACATTGACATCCTCCAAACTTTATGGTTAATGAGGAAGTTCAATATTCAGTTCTCAATAAAAGACGGCTCATGTGGAGCATCCAAATTCTTACATGTGTCAAATTTCTTTGCTGTTCGTCTGTATTCGTGGGGACAGTGAACAATGAACAATTCACAGGATGTATTTCAATGAATTGAAGTGCCATCTACCAAAAGTCTGAATAGAAACGAATAACTTCAGACCAATAATTCCACATCATGGAAGTTGTAATTCAATTTCCCAGTGTTCTTGTGTGAATGTTGGAGTGTAGACCATATGATATTGACTTGTTCCGAAAACTACTGTTTTTCATAGAGCAATGTGATTATCATGTTATATTAAACGCAGCATTCAAAATGTCTTACCGAGGATCTTAAGTCAGTCAAAATAGACTATGAAGAACAAAATACGCAACATCGTCATCATCAGCATCGCCATATCTGTGAACAAAGAAATTGAAAACCATCAAATATGACCGCATATGATTTGGCAATAAACAAAATAACTACAGTCAATTCATTTATGTCATCATCAACATTCCACATTAATTTATTATATGATTGTGTCAATTCCAAACTAATTTGTGGTATTTGTTCAGTTAATAACTTCAATAATTAGTCTACTTCAGGTCAACAATCTCTAATTTATTTTTACCTTCTTTGTCTATGTTGAAATGTCTTAATGTAATTACACTGTGGTCATAAACTACTATTGAATATTCAAAAGTTCTATTCAGTCTGAAACGTAGTTGTCTGGTAAGATTTAGAATAGAAAAAACTTGAATTGAAGATATGAAGTAGGAAACAACATCTAACTGAATTATATAAATGCATCGTTTCAATAAGATTGTTAATCATGAATGGAGTGATGATGGCCTCTCCATTGCTAATAATGAATCTAATGGTTCATGTGTCATCATCAGAATGACTACTCATATGCTGTGCACAATATCCACTTCACACAAATGTTAAATGTTTCAATGGAACAAGAGTAGGAATAAGTTTAATGTGAAATGAGTAACTACACAAACAGTGAACTAGTGTACCGTTTAACCAACTAATCACACATCTAACACTCTCAAAAATGATAACGAATGCCCATCAGTTTGTAGTTGTGAATATGATCAGATCGTCATCAGATCATACTTATGCACTAATCACTATTTAATATTTCCAGTAAACAACAGTAACTATCTGCAACACAATTGAGTACAAGGTGAATGCTTTCACTTGACTAAGCTATGAATGTACACAATCTGTCCCACTACAATAATAATTGTTGTCTAACACATTGCAACAAGTAGTTGCATATTTCACTTATCAAAACGATAATCTGCATTTCATTTCATACAACAAATTCTTGTGAATAATCAAACAACCTAATCGAGTGAAACATTTCACCAAATAATACTTGACTACCCTCATTTCCATAATGTAATCAGTGAAACACTGTTTCCTGATAACCTTGTGTCCAGTAATATCAAAATGCTCATCCATCAGAACACATGACTCCATGAAGACGATAATGATGATGATATTTGTTACTGGTTGGTGCTGAACTGTGAATTGGTTCGATTTTTGTTTCATTATTCATTTAACCATGAGTACAATTGAGTGAGTTGATTTCTGTCTCTTATTTCAATCTACAGTCTTCATTATTGATGAATAGATCTTTGTCAGATCACACAATCCAGTCATCTCCAGTACTCCAGAGTTATCATCCTCTTCATTTACAAATACTCTGTCAGTGTCTCCATTCCAACTCCATTACAATGTTATTTTCAAAACAATTCATTACTCTGTCATGAACTATTCATCTCTTCATGCTCATTCAAAAGTACCTTATTATTTCGAACTGAATAAATGTAGCAGCTTGTATGTGACAGTGAAATACCATGAATCCATCATATTCTCCAAGCTATCTCGTTCGCCATTTCCTCCTACACAATTCTCATCATAATTCGACTTTCTATCAAGTCGATGGTTGATTGGTTATTGTGACGAGATATTTGGTTGGATGATCAACTGTGTGCTTCACTCTATATAATCTCAATAGTGTTCTCTTCACTGTGAATAGATTATTTGATAGTGTTGGAATGGCTTCACGTGAATACAAAAATGACTGCATAATCGTAAGTATTCAGTTTGACTACACAGTGTATTTAATTGTTTTTCATTTAGTTTGATGATAGTTATGAAGGATATTCAGCGAAAAATTTCACTTTACCAGAACCCTATGAAAAACATATTTCGACCATTTTGATTCCTGGAGGAATGGTTCGGAGTCGTTTGGAAAGAATGTCTATTGATATATTGAGTGATTATGAGAAATGTGGTGTAAAATCTGTCTACATAATTTGTATATTGAAAGGAGGCTTCAAATTTGCTTCCGACTTATTCAAAACATTACAAAAGTATTCATTTACACGTGACAATTACATCAAAGTCAGTATTGATTTCCTCGCTGCAAGTACATACGTCGTAAGTAGTAATGATATTTTGTGAAGTAATTTCTATCAATATATTTAGGATGATTCAGTAGGTCATGATACCAACATCACCCCGTGTACAAATATGGAGAAGTTCAGAGATAAGGTAGGTTGAAAGGTGATGGAGGGAATTTCTAATGGTCATTTGGTTGTTTTTGAAAGGATGTACTGATTGTGGAAGATATGGTTGACACTGGCACAAGTTTAAACGAACTGGAGAGATTTGTGAGGAAATACGAACCGAAATCTGTTTATTCTGCATGGTATGTTCTTTTTATGTTGTTCTCTCTTTAGTATTGTCATAGAATGCATTCGAATTGAACGTAATGATTAAATTGAGTTGGATGTTAAGTGTGTTGAACAAGTTGATGGATTGCCGAATAGACCTTATATAAACTTTAATCATGAGAGACTGAATGTGTAGAAATGATTTGTTTATGTTGATAGTAAATACTACTGATGTCGTTTAACAGATTTGTAACTTTATTTGTGTGTTGTTGTTGTAATACACGGTGTCTCTGAGACATTGATTTCAACGTATTGTGCTTAAACACCATATAATTAGTTGTGCTGAATACTTTGTGAATGTCTTCTATTTAACTTTTACTAGTAAAAAATACTTATGTTGGTCAACCTTTCTTTTCCATCGTTTCTAAATAACAGTTTATTAGTCAAGAGAATTACAAATGGCATTGAAGAAATACCACCATACAATTCATTTAGCTGTTTGTCTATTTGGTATGTATGTTATTGTTTTCTGCATATTTTTGTTTTCTCTTAGATTGTTGTTAGCAAAGAGATATTTAGTTGTATTCATAAACAGTTATGTTAATAGTTATTATTATTATTATTATTATTATTAGTAGTAGTAGTAGTAGTAGTAGTAGTAATGGTAGTAGTATTAGTAGTAGTAGTAATGGTAGTAGTAGTAATAGTAGTAGTATTAATAGTAGTAGTAGCAGTGGTAGTAGGAGTATTAGGAGTAGGAGTATTAGGAGTAGGAGTAGTAGGAGTAGGAGTAGTAGTAGTAGTATTTAGTATTAGTAGTAGCAGTAGTAATAATAGTATTGCTGAAACTTATAATAATACAACGTTTAAATGCTTTCTGTATATCTGAATAATAGTTTTTCAAGTAAAAAACAACCAATAACTTTTCCTGGATATAAACCAACCTGTAAGTCTTCAATACTAAAATTGTTCGTAACAGAACTATCACTGTATTTGTACAAAAGTTAATTTGTTTGTACCTCTAATTACGTGTATGATGATTGAATAAGTATATGTAAATTGAATCATTCTAGGTTGGAGGGTGTGAGCCTTCGAATGAAGGTGTATTCTTGTCAGAATCATTTCAATAGTACAACAAAATTTGTTGAGGATAGACGTTGCGAACTAATTCATTGAACAGATAGATATTCATAGAGTAACAGTGAGACATCACTCACTAATTTACTGATAGATGGAACTCGATCAACATTGAATAAAGAATTATTACTGTGTTTGCCTTTCTGTAATAATACAAATTCACCGTGTACGAGTTTCATTTCTAAAGAACATCTATTCATAGTGTCTATGATCACAGAAAACGCATCCAACCAGAAATATAACAACCGTGTAAGAGAACTTAACAGTGAATTCTTTCCTCACAAGTTATTATTTCGATCTTCATTAAAATGAAATCAAGTGTATATTTGAGTCACTCAAAATTATTTAATTAATGACACAGTCAGTGATCAACTGTAACAACGTACATAGTAAACATGTGTAACACGAGTGTAACCTACTTTTCATTAGATACTCACCAATACTCATTTTAACGTATTCCATCAAACCTAATCGATTCAAATGACATTTTGTAGATGTTGGATTCGAAGTACCGAATGTATTCATAGTTGGTTATGGCATCGACTACAACGATCAGTTCCGTGAATTGCCAGTAAGTGAATTGGACGAATGGATAATTTGTTGTTATCATCCACTCTGTGTGTTTGTTATTATATGTGAGATGATGAAGTTTGATGTGTCGAATAATTAAATTGTATTGCAGAGTGGTGAGTAGGTATGAATGTAAGCAAGTTATTACGTTGACCAACAAAAAGTGGAGCATGTATCATGTGAATGAATGAATGAAATGATTGAAATTTGCTTTGACATTGTCCAGTGAAAATGTTAATATTGTTCACTTTTTCTCCTTTGATTATTTCCTCTCCTTTTCAAGCATGTGTGTGTAGTGAACGATGAAGGCAAACGTGAATTCCTTGGCAAAGGTTAACATCTCATGCTTTGTTTAACCATTTATTAACCGAGTAAATAATCAGATTTGTGTTGGACATTCTCTCATTCAATGTCACTACGTATACATTAAAAAATGCATATTTTTTGGACTCAGTGGTCAAGCGAATAACGTGATGGCGTTTGAACCGAAAGGTACTGGGTTCGAGTCACAGAGTGAGCATCAACTCAGATGCAGGTACATCCAGCTGACGAGTCCCAAATAGGACGGAACGCGCATCCTGGATTCCACTGCTAGTCACTATCCATCTTTGTTTACTAAAACTCAACATTTTTTAGTTTACTCCAGTCTATTTTTCTTGATTAATTATCTAAACTTCAATAAGTGAAGTACAAGAATTTCTAACCTCTAATAGAAAATGAAAAGAAAATAAATTTGATTGAAGTACGTGCCGTTATCATATGGAAGGTATTGTATGAAAAAAAACAATAAATAGTTTCATCTTTGTTGGTCGTTTTCTTTATTATAATGAGACAGTATTGTGATTTATGAAGTTCCAAAGCTCAGTCAGACTATTGTTTATTCGCCCACGTAAAGTAGTAGTAGTCATCTGACTCCAGTTAGATCGTATGCTGATTGTTATCGAAATAGACATGTCTTTAACCCTCGTATATGATTATCGACTAAATTTGCGTTAGAGAATAATGGAATGAAACTAGCCAAATATGCGAATGCATTTTGAGTTCATTTATTTCGAACACTCATTGATCCAGACAAACAATCAGAGAAACGGAGTGAAGAAAGGGAAATGAACGAAACGAAACGAAGTGATGCTTCGAGGAGAAGGCGAGTGAGCCAACTCGTTTTGATTAAACGTGATTCAATATTTATATTCATACAAAAATAATTTACAGACAAACACATGATAAATAGGGAAAACAATTAACACGCATACAATCATGTAAGAACAGTCAGAAATAGTAAGGAAACAATTGACAAGGTTAAAATATGGTATGAGAGGAGTGAATAAGTCGGTCTGTTCAGAAGCTAGAATAACCCATGTGGGTTTGACATAATACTAGCCACTACAAGTCGAAACCATCTCTGAACAACGAACGAAATCGACCTCCATACTAGACCACAGTATTTCCAACATCTTTCCCCACACAATCTCAGATGGTGTGATAGGTCACACATTTTGGCAAGTCTAGGTGATTGACCTCTACGAGTAGAATTGTGTAGGAAATTCGCCCGACTAAATCCAGTTTCCTCAAGCACTTCAAGTCAATTGAAGCATAACCTGATTTAGGTTTCAATCATGTATCCACTCGGAATCCTATCAAACTAGATTTGTTTGATTGATGAAAGTAAGAAAAACGACTTCTTTTTCATTCAATAACTGGTTGAATATTTTAACGGTCTACTCGAACATGCATGTGAATGATTGGGCAGCTATGGTCAATAGTGAATATCATATGGTTCACTAACCAATATAAACGATCGATATTCCATTCATTCATTGAAGTTAACCAGAAATCGCAACAGAGGTGGAAATTCTCGTTCACCAAAGATTTGCTTATATCCAGTAGGAAAATCAGTCAGAAATATAGTATAAACTCTATTTTCCAGTTAGTAGAATAGCACTCACTTTAAAACATGGGTTATTTCCACCAACCATAACATCGATATAATATTTATTGAAATCGTAGAATGTACAAATACCATCCCACTTACCCACGGGTGAATGATCAGGAACTGAAGCGAATTCCCCATTTCATTTGTGTCTGATAGCTGCTCCCACTACCAAATTACAGCACTGCAATTACAGTTATCAAAACGTCTCGAAATGGAGATGGTGGTTTTGGAATGAGAGGTTATCCACCCACCCCCTGATAATGTGGAGAAACGGGATCATACAAACCTATTAAGATAGTGATGACAATGAAGTCGGCTACATATAACAAAATATCAGATCGAACAAAGAATTAACCAATCAGACAGTTGGAGACTCACTATGGTGATGATGATCAGATTTCGACTCTCATCAACCTGTCTACACAGCTTTATCAGAATTGATTAACGAAAGAGAGAATTACAAACATTGACATCCTCCAAACTTTATGGTTAATGAGGAAGTTCAATATTCAGTTCTCAATAAAAGACGGCTCATGTGGAGCATCCAAATTCTTACATGTGTCAAATTTCTTTGCTGTTCGTCTGTATTCGTGGGGACAGTGAACAATGAACAATTCACAGGATGTATTTCAATGAATTGAAGTGCCATCTACCAAAAGTCTGAATAGAAACGAATAACTTCAGACCAATAATTCCACATCATGGAAGTTGTAATTCAATTTCCCAGTGTTCTTGTGTGAATGTTGGAGTGTAGACCATATGATATTGACTTGTTCCGAAAACTACTGTTTTTCATAGAGCAATGTGATTATCATGTTATATTAAACGCAGCATTCAAAATGTCTTACCGAGGATCTTAAGTCAGTCAAAATAGACTATGAAGAACAAGATACGCAACATCGTCATCATCAGCATCGCCATATCTGTGAACAAAGAAATTGAAAACCATCAAATATGACCGCATATGATTTGGCAATAAACAAAATAACTACAGTCAATTCATTTATGTCATCATCAACATTCCACATTAATTTATTATATGATTGTGTCAATTCCAAACTAATTTGTGGTATTTGTTCAGTTAATAACTTCAATAATTAGTCTACTTCAGGTCAACAATCTCTAATTTATTTTTACCTTCTTTGTCTATGTTGAAATGTCTTAATGTAATTACACTGTGGTCATAAACTACTATTGAATATTCAAAAGTTCTATTCAGTCTGAAACGTAGTTGTCTGGTAAGATTTAGAATAGAAAAAACTTGAATTGAAGATATGAAGTAGGAAACAACATCTAACTGAATTATATAAATGCATCGTTTCAATAAGATTGTTAATCATGAATGGAGTGATGATGGCCTCTCCATTGCTAATAATGAATCTAATGGTTCATGTGTCATCATCAGAATGACTACTCATATGCTGTGCACAATATCCACTTCACACAAATGTTAAATGTTTCAATGGAACAAGAGTAGGAATAAGTTTAATGTGAAATGAGTAACTACACAAACAGTGAACTAGTGTACCGTTTAACCAACTAATCACACATCTAACACTCTCAAAAATGATAACGAATGCCCATCAGTTTGTAGTTGTGAATATGATCAGATCGTCATCAGATCATACTTATGCACTAATCACTATTTAATATTTCCAGTAAACAACAGTAACTATCTGCAACACAATTGAGTACAAGGTGAATGCTTTCACTTGACTAAGCTATGAATGTACACAATCTGTCCCACTACAATAATAATTGTTGTCTAACACATTGCAACAAGTAGTTGCATATTTCACTTATCAAAACGATAATCTGCATTTCATTTCATACAACAAATTCTTGTGAATAATCAAACAACCTAATCGAGTGAAACATTTCACCAAATAATACTTGACTACCCTCATTTCCATAATGTAATCAGTGAAACACTGTTTCCTGATAACCTTGTGTCCAGTAATATCAAAATGCTCATCCATCAGAACACATGACTCCATGAAGACGATAATGATGATGATATTTGTTACTGGTTGGTGCTGAACTGTGAATTGGTTCGATTTTTGTTTCATTATTCATTTAACCATGAGTACAATTGAGTGAGTTGATTTCTGTCTCTTATTTCAATCTACAGTCTTCATTATTGATGAATAGATCTTTGTCAGATCACACAATCCAGTCATCTCCAGTACTCCAGAGTTATCATCCTCTTCATTTACAAATACTCTGTCAGTGTCTTCATTCCAACTCCATTACAATGTTATTTTCAAAACAATTCATTACTCTGTCATGAACTATTCATCTCTTCATGCTCATTCAAAAGTACCTTATTATTTCGAACTGAATAAATGTAGCAGCTTGTATGTGACAGTGAAATACCATGAATCCATCATATTCTCCAAGCTATCTCGTTCGCCATTTCCTCCTACACAATTCTCATCATAATTCGACTTTCTATCAAGTCGATAGTTGATTGGTTATTGTGACGAGATATTTGGTTGGATGATCAACTGTGTGCTTCACTCTATATAATCTCAATAGTGTTCTCTTCACTGTGAATAGATTATTTGATAGTGTTGGAATGGCTTCACGTGAATACAAAAATGACTGCATAATCGTAAGTATTCAGTTTGACTACACAGTGTATTTAATTGTTTTTCATTTAGTTTGATGATAGTTATGAAGGATATTCAGCGAAAAATTTCACTTTACCAGAACCCTATGAAAAACATATTTCGACCATTTTGATTCCTGGAGGAATGGTTCGGAGTCGTTTGGAAAGAATGTCTATTGATATATTGAGTGATTATGAGAAATGTGGTGTAAAATCTGTCTACATAATTTGTATATTGAAAGGAGGCTTCAAATTTGCTTCCGACTTATTCAAAACATTACAAAAGTATTCATTTACACGTGACAATTACATCAAAGTCAGTATTGATTTCCTCGCTGCAAGTACATACGTCGTAAGTAGTAATGATATTTTGTGAAGTAATTTCTATCAATATATTTAGGATGATTCAGTAGGTCATGATACCAACATCACCCCGTGTACAAATATGGAGAAGTTCAGAGATAAGGTAGGTTGAAAGGTGATGGAGGGAATTTCTAATGGTCATTTGGTTGTTTTTGAAAGGATGTACTGATTGTGGAAGATATGGTTGACACTGGCACAAGTTTAAACGAACTGGAGAGATTTGTGAGGAAATACGAACCGAAATCTGTTTATTCTGCATGGTATGTTCTTTTTATGTTGTTCTCTCTTTAGTATTGTCATAGAATGCATTCGAATTGAACGTAATGATTAAATTGAGTTGGATGTTAAGTGTGTTGAACAAGTTGATGGATTGCCGAATAGACCTTATATAAACTTTAATCATGAGAGACTGAATGTGTAGAAATGATTTGTTTATGTTGATAGTAAATACTACTGATGTCGTTTAACAGATTTGTAACTTTATTTGTGTGTTGTTGTTGTAATACACGGTGTCTCTGAGACATTGATTTCAACGTATTGTGCTTAAACACCATATAATTAGTTGTGCTGAATACTTTGTGAATGTCTTCTATTTAACTTTTACTAGTAAAAAATACTTATGTTGGTCAACCTTTCTTTTCCATCGTTTCTAAATAACAGTTTATTAGTCAAGAGAATTACAAATGGCATTGAAGAAATACCACCATACAATTCATTTAGCTGTTTGTCTATTTGGTATGAAAGTTATTGTTTTCTGCATATTTTTGTTTTCTCTTAGATTGTTGTTAGCAAAGAGATATTTAGTTGTATTCATAAACAGTTATGTTAATAGTTATTATTATTATTATTATTATTATTATTATTATTATTAGTAGTAGTAGTAGTAGTAGTAGTAGTAGTAGTAGTAGTAGTAGTAATGGTAGTAGTATTAGTAGTAGTAGTAATGGTAGTAGTAGTAATAGTAGTAGTATTAATAGTAGTAGTAGCAGTGGTAGTAGGAGTATTAGGAGTAGGAGTATTAGGAGTAGGAGTAGTAGGAGTAGGAGTAGTAGGAGTAGGAGTAGTAGGAGTAGGAGTAGTAGTAGTAGTATTTAGTATTAGTAGTAGCAGTAGTAATAATAGTATTGCTGAAACTTATAATAATACAACGTTTAAATGCTTTCTGTATATCTGAATAATAGTTTTTCAAGTAAAAAACAACCAATAACTTTTCCTGGATATAAACCAACCTGTAAGTCTTCAATACTAAAATTGTTCGTAACAGAACTATCACTGTATTTGTACAAAAGTTAATTTGTTTGTACCTCTAATTACGTGTATGATGATTGAATAAGTATATGTAAATTGAATCATTCTAGGTTGGAGGGTGTGAGCCTTCGAATGAAGGTGTATTCTTGTCAGAATCATTTCAATAGTACAACAAAATTTGTTGAGGATAGACGTTGCGAACTAATTCATTGAACAGATAGATATTCATAGAGTAACAGTGAGACATCACTCACTAATTTACTGATAGATGGAACTCGATCAACATTGAATAAAGAATTATTACTGTGTTTGCCTTTCTGTAATAATACAAATTCACCGTGTACGAGTTTCATTTCTAAAGAACATCTATTCATAGTGTCTATGATCACAGAAAACGCATCCAACCAGAAATATAACAACCGTGTAAGAGAACTTAACAGTGAATTCTTTCCTCACAAGTTATTATTTCGATCTTCATTAAAATGAAATCAAGTGTATATTTGAGTCACTCAAAATTATTTAATTAATGACACAGTCAGTGATCAACTGTAACAACGTACATAGTAAACATGTGTAACACGAGTGTAACCTACTTTTCATTAGATACTCACCAATACTCATTTTAACGTATTCCATCAAACCTAATCGATTCAAATGACATTTTGTAGATGTTGGATTCGAAGTACCGAATGTATTCATAGTTGGTTATGGCATCGACTACAACGATCAGTTCCGTGAATTGCCAGTAAGTGAATTGGACGAATGGATAATTTGTTGTTATCATCCACTCTGTGTGTTTGTTATTATATGTGGGATGATGAAGTTTGATGTGTCGAATAATTAAATTGTATTGCAGAGTGGTGAGTAGGTATGAATGTAAGCAAGTTATTACGTTGACCAACAAAAAGTGGAGCATGTATCATGTGAATGAATGAATGAAATGATTGAAATTTGCTTTGACATTGTCCAGTGAAAATGTTAATATTGTTCACTTTTTCTCCTTTGATTATTTCCTCTCCTTTTCAAGCATGTGTGTGTAGTGAACGATGAAGGCAAACGTGAATTCCTTGGCAAAGGTTAACATCTCATGCTTTGTTTAACCATTTATTAACCGAGTAAATAATCAGATTTGTGTTGGACATTCTCTCATTCAATGTCACTACGTATACATTAAAAAATGCATATTTTTGTAATTTCATCGTTCGAATCCATCATTTATACAGAAGAATTTATTTTGCACTATTTTTCCAAGAATATTTTTTTGTTCTTGGATGCTACAGTTCTTGATTAAGCATGAGTACGAAACCTGAAATTTCGGAGGGGTTAATTAACTTATCAGAATTCATTATTTAGTCAAGATTTCATATGTGAATCCTTTGATATGTTGGCATTTGTATAGTCAATATAAATTTAGATTTTCATTAAAAACTTGCAGTTTGTTTAAGAATTAAATATGAATTTTTGTTTAGAAGTGAAGGGATTTTGAATGCTCACTTTTCACTAGTTGGTCTGCTTTATAACAATGTGTTGAAGATTATCAACAACACTTTATATGTGAATATTTGTCTTGATGTTAATATTGAAGATGGTGAGTGTGATGATTGGTTGTCGGGTCTACTACCAAGTAGAATCTTGTAGAAATCTTCGAGATTACACTATTTAATGTGGCCAAACATACCTATGTCATTTAAAATGAAACAAAGTTCATCTGCAAATAAAAACTATAAGGATTATATTTAGATAAGAAACTAAGTAGTGTTTTCAATGTCTTCTATAAATGCGTCGCTAGAACACGTCTCAAACTTCCAAATGAAAATAATTAATGAAGTGAAAATCAGAGCTTAAAATTAAATTCACAGTGAAAATTATTCTCTCACAAGTAGTACTCACCCACAAAATCAACGGAAAATTTCCCGAAAATACTTGATACTACACACTTATTGAACGGATTGATAAACGGAACCACTAGAAGTTCACGTACACGAATCCCATCTGACTCATACACATCACAGAATATAATTAATGCATGATCTGTTAAGCAGTAGTCTTTCCCAAATCATGTTGTTTGGACAAGTGTAACACATATTATTCTGTGATGATTTGAATTATAGTATAAACTAGTAATCTCAGGAATAAAGTAATTTAATCAAGAAGTGTTAGATGAGCACGAACGAATGTACTGTATTTGGAATTCAAAATTAAAACAGTCATCAATACAAATAAATCATTGGTTCATATAAACACCACATAATCGTCTACTTTTTAAATCTACAACCTCACTATTTAACATACCTTCACCAAGTGAATATGTCTATGTATCTTCGACTTTAATATTGGTCTCGATAGTTATCATGGACACACCGCAGCTGAAGGAGCCCGGTCAAGTATTCATATGATCTGTTTCATGTGCTTCTACTTTTAAAATTTTTATTTTATACTCGCCTTGTGATGATCACCACTGATTGGTACTTTGAAGCTAAGTCGTTTATACACCTAGTGGATTGCTTGTTTTCAGATAATTTGTTGTTTGATTTGTCGTACTGCCTATTCTACTCTGAACTGATGCTGAGAATTTATCCATCCGTATAATAGGTAAACGTTATTTTTGTTGGAAGTGACGCAGAAGAAAGTCGAAATATCTAGGTTATCATAAATTATTATTTTGAATGTCACTTTTAAATTTGTTTTGATAAATTTGTTTTATCCACGCAATGAATTTGGTTACTTTGGTGGTTTGACCTTGAGCTTTCAAATTTTACCTTTTTGTTAGTCGTTTGGATTTTGACTCTGGAAACCGAAATATTGGAAGTCTGTCAGGCAATTTATTTTCGCTTTTATTTAGAACGGAATTTTGCTATTTTGTAACATAGAAGTACAATTCTACATTTTGGATACTTAAATGCAGGTTTTCTCGTCACGCTATTGGAAGTTGCAGGTTATTGAGTAAATGTAAGTCAAGAAAGGCCAGTGTTGGTAATTTGGATACAACACTTTATTCTTACGCTTTAAGTGGGCCGTTTGATCATTTTTTGTACTTATATGATCGACTTAGTGTAGTCAGCTGAAAGGACATATGACTTCATGTGAAGGTTCGTCGGGAAAAATTGTGCCACTGATTAAAACTTAGTTACAAGCATATATATTCCCCAGCCTATTGACATTTTCGTTTCTTTCTTGTAGTTTTTGTTTCTGCATGATGCCTTCTCATCCGACGATATCCACGCTGACCTTAATGTCATGGTCCTTCATTAGGATAGTCGTGTGTTTCCCTCGTCATATCTCTTTGATAGACTGCATCCTTTAACCAAAGCTACTTTGTCATCTTTGCTGTTATTATTAGTGGGCGCGTAGCAGTACGTGATACTTGTTCTCCTTCGTTTAGAGCGATACTTCGACCCTGACTTTTATTCACACAATAACAACTCTTTTGAAATTAGTCCCTTTTGTCTAGGTTCCCTCTAATGAGTTTTACTTATCCCATACCTCTGTTCAAATGATCCGCCCAGTCTCCAAAAAGTCCGAGAATTCTGTACATCAGTATCAATTGTTGTTTTGAATGTCAAAAGGAGCATCGGAAGACTCTCTTCTTTTACTATGAGGTGTCATCCATGTGAAGATATTTCAGCTCTCAAAGGAATGTCTAGGTGGATTAATCAGTCTACTCTGACTAAGAATTCCAGTGGTGTTTATTCTCATGAGATAGAGTTGATAATCTTGGACCATGTTTCCCTAATTTACCTGGTCTCAGAGTCACTTGTTACTCTAGAAGAGCTTACGCCTGCTTACATAGTTCAGTAGGGAACAGCGATGATCAGTACCCTGTTAGCGGTTATAATCTAGTAATACAAGGACCACTGCTCGTTACTACGCCTCACTTCAGCTCCTCTACTTGGTAGATACTTCGAAAGTTATAGTCGTCATTCCTAAAATCGACTTATAAGAAGAATAAACCTAGCCTCGTATGGCTGACCAATGCATTCTCGACACTTAAATTCTGCCTAGTCTTCTTGGATTTTTCTCGTTTCTACACACAACGGATTTTTAAGCTTTTGTTGATGCACTGTTTGTATCATATATCTCAACATAAAATTGCATGGCCCATAAAATTCGAATCAAATTGAAATAATTGCTTTAAGGACGTAATGTATGCAAAATAATCAGGAACCCTAATTTGTAAGGTGTTTATAGTGTCACATGATCAAAACATACAATAAAAAAGGGAATGCTCCTAAAATTTAGTCATATAAAAAATACTGACAAACAGATGGCAGACAGCTTGCATGTTTACTGAAGGCGCAGTCTCTATGAACAGTCTCAGCAAAAATTAAGGACGCAAAGAATGAAAGCCATTAAAGTTTAAATGACGTTCAATTAGCGTACTAAATCGGAAACATCAGTCCCATGCGTTAGGAATGTGTGGTCACATTGATCAGTTTCGAAGTTGTGCTCATACTTATTAACGTTACACAGCAATATATGGGGCACATATTATGCGCTCAAAATGGTTGGAAACAGAAATACTTCGATACT